TCGCGTCGCTATAGTGTGTGATCCTGCTGACTACCTGCTGGTTGCCAAGGAGATGGAGAGTTCAGGAGACAAAGATACAACCCTGGAAACCCGCAGGACTCTGGCCCTAAAAGTAACGCCACTTTATATATTTTCCCAACATTTAATTTGAATATATACGAACTAGGATATTTAGGGGTAGATTATCTGTATTATGTGTAATACAATTACTCCACACTTCTGGAGCACATTTTATAAACATTTCAATATTTGACTAGAGCTCTTTTATTTAAACGTTTTAATGTCTCGCTATCAGCCTTTCTTGATCCTTTAACTACTTCTACGTAAAACATCTGTTCATCTCGCCCATCACTGTTCAGACTTGTGTTGAATCCTGCTTTTGGCTCAATAATGATTGAGCAGGTTTCAAAGTGATTGTGTAATAGTTATAACTAACCCATTGTATGCTGATTAAACATTGAGGTTTTTGAGGCAAAAGTCAGATAATGTAATGTTGATCAAATAACTGATTTCAGATGAGGTATTTGTTTTTCCCCAGTATTCATTTTAGGTTGATTATGTTTGAGGTTCAGTGCAAGTCAAAGTCCAGTCCAGTGAAGGATTTCTGTTTTAAGTGTTGAAATATTTGTTTACAGATTTTAACATCAGGACTTTGAAGTCCAACTGAACTTATGGCTAAACACAAAAACAGATCAGTTTAAGATCACAAATGATTTACTGCTTTGCTTTGCTTTGGGATACCAATATATAAACTGCGCAGAAATGGTCTTAAAAAATATATAGGAATTTTGACCTTCAATTCTTTGGATACACTGTAGATGCCTTAACGAAAATAACTGCATTTGGTACAAAACAAAAGATTATGTGTTTTCATTTTCATATATTTGGTTCATCATCAGTGTGTATTTGTTCTCTGCTCTTCAGGCCTTCACACACACAGCTCAGTATGACGAGGCCATATCTGACTACTTTCGTGGACAGTACAGCCGTGGTGTTTCACAGCTGCCTCTTCGCTACGGCATGAACCCCCACCAAGCCCCTGCCCAGCTCTACACCCTGCGCCCAGCCCTCCCCCTCAAAGGTAAAGACCCCCCCCCCCCCCCCCCATCCCATCACAGCTGTCTCCTCTGACCTGAAGCAGTCATTGTTTATAAGTTTGGCTTTAAAGTAGGAGTTTAACATTTTGGAAAATACACTTCTTTGCTTACTTTGAGTCAGATGAGAAGATACTATACTACACTTTGCTACAATACAATGACTTTTAATGGCAAACTTAAACAGTTTTTTTATGGCATACCTTTTAACAATCGCCAACCTGTGTGGGGCAGTGAATCTAGAAGTACCAACAACTGCAGTTCATTGAATGGCCACTTGAGGCCTGCCTTTAAAAGAGTCTCCAAAAGAAAGCCCAACTCTACAGCAGAAACCAACATGTTAACAGCCTCAAACAAAAACAGTTTTTGTCTCAAGAGCTCATTTCGTGCCACTTTTTGCAAGAAACTAATAAGTGTAGATGACATATAAAGCAGGCAGTGATTTTGGAAGTAGTGTCCTCTCATCGCTGACTCCTAAAATACTGGAAACTACTGATGTAAATTAACATATTTCTAGCTCCAGCATTTTACACTGATGTATAATATAACATGCACTGTCCTTATCAAACAAGGAAAAATAACCTTGTCAAAAAAAGTTCTGACAAAAAGTATAACAAAAAATGACCTAGCCTTGACATCATTCATTTCCCCCCCTCTCAGTGGTCAACGGTTCCCCCGGCTTCATCAACCTGTGTGACGCTCTGAACGCCTGGCAGCTGGTCAGAGAGCTGAAGAGCGCCCTCGGCATGGCTGCTGCCGCCTCCTTCAAACATGTCAGCCCTGCTGGTGAGAAAAGAGATTCATTCTCCAGGGTATAAATATGGAGCTGAAATGTAGTTCCTTATATTAAAATGACTCTTCATGTTTCTTCTGAAGGCGCTGCCGTGGGAGTTCCTCTGAGTGAGGAGGAGGCCAAGGTGTGCATGGTGCACGACATGCTGAAGGACCTCTCCCCCCTCGCCACGGCCTACGCCCGGGCCAGGGGCTCCGACAGAATGTCCTCTTTTGGAGACTTCATCGCTGTGTCCGATGTTTGTGATGTTCCCACTGCCAAGATCATATCAAGAGAGGTAAAATAATATGTACGAAAGAAAAGAACAAATAATCTGTTAGTTTTATTGCTGCAACATTGCTTTGATGATTCATATGTGCTCTCAGGTGTCTGATGGTATCATCGCTCCTGGTTATGATAAGGAGGCACTTAAGATCCTCTGCAAGAAGAAGAATGGCAACTACTGTGTGCTTCAGGTGAGAGTTTTTTTATCATCATCATGTTTAAATAATGATCATTAGAATGAGGGTTAAGGTAAATGTTCCTATTAACAATGTGTGCCTTAATCCCAGATGGATCCAGAGTATGCGCCGGATGAGGCGGAGGTCAGAGTGCTGTTTGGTCTCTATCTCAAACAGAAGAGGAATGGAGCGATGATCGATAAGGAGTTCTTCAGCAACGTTGTTTCCAAGGGCTCGGTGAGTCACTGTAGTGTACTTATGTCCTTTTTTTAAATAACTATTTTATTGTTTACACAATCTCATCAAAGTGTTTACCTTTCTGAAGCTCTCAGAGGGAGCTGTGCGGGACCTGGCTGTGGCCACCATCGCTGTCAAGTACACTCAGTCCAACTCTGTCTGCTACGCTAAAGATGGACAGGTAAGAACAGGCAGATAAAGGGAGGAGAGAGGAATCCGGATGAGACCTACACTTTATACTCTAATGTTTTCTCTGTGTTTTACAGGTTGTTGGTATTGGAGCAGGGCAGCAGTCCCGTATCCACTGCACCCGTCTGGCAGGGGACAAAGCTGATAACTGGTGGCTGAGACACCACCCTCAGGTCCTGAACATGAAGTTCCGCAGCGGTGTGAAGCGAGCGGAGATTGCCAACGCAATCGACCAGTATGTCAGCGACACCATTGGAGAGGTAAGTGGGTAACAACGGGCAACAAACACTTTGAGGATAAAGCAGTAGTTAAGTTGTACTGTTGTGGTAGGAAGACAATTCCAGTAACACCTGCAATAATTTCTTACTGCCAGCTCTGTAAGAAAAGCCATTCAGTGTATTTGCAATGTTGTGTTACTTAAAGGTAGGGTAGGTAAGAATGGAGAAACCAGCTCGAGTAAGCTAGAATTTTGAAAGTACGCAGCCGAAAACAATCTGCCCCTTCCTTCAGACTTCCTTACAGAGCCCCTCCTCCAACACACACGAACGCGCACATGACCAATGAGGGCACGAGATAAGTTTGTGCACGAGATGGAAGGCTGACAGGCAGGTAGGCCATCCAATGATCTGCCTCGGCCCGCGGCAGATAATTGGACTTGCTTTTTACAGCGCCACGGCTTCCACAGATGAAATATTTGTATATATTTATTGTCAAAGCATTTAATTTATTCATTGCTATCGGGATGTTAAGAGCATTCCATGGAATATAACAAAAAGTGTTTCTGAAGTTAATTACCTACCCTACCTTTTTAAGTATACACATTTCTCAGTGACTGGTCATTCTTATCAGGTTTGATTTTGCTCAAAACAGAGCTATAGCAACTTAGCAGCAGCTATGGCTGCATTACATCTGACTTGAATACATTTGTTTAAACTGCTTCCACAGTGGCCGTCAAGCACACACAGTTCACATGTAATGTTTGAGACATTGAGAGTAACTGAAAGGTCCCGTATTGTGTGTTGACAGGGCCCAGACTTGGACGTTTGGAAGTCGAAGTTTGAAGAGGTGCCTGAGCCTCTGTCAGAGACTGAGAAGAAGAACTGGATCAGCTCCCTGCAGGCTGTGGCTGTCAGCTCTGATGCCTTCTTCCCCTTCAGAGATAACATAGATCGTGCCAAACGGGTAAATATAACATCTTTCACATAGGCATGGGAATGGCCTGCAGACACCTGTTTAAGTCTTACCTTGTGGGAACACTTTCAACTTTGAAAATATAACTTTACTAACGTTACTTCCCGGTGTGTGTGTGTTTGTGTAGAGTGGTGTTGGGTTCATCGCAGCTCCAGCGGGCTCTGCTGCTGATCAGGTTGTGATTGATGCCTGTAACGAGCAGGGCATCACTCTGGTGCACACCAACCTGCGGCTCTTCCACCACTGAGCGCCTCAGCACTTCTTAGTGTGCTCTCCAAACTCAACTAACGGTTTGCATCATTGGAGCCAACATATTTTCCTAATACTGCTGATACTTAAAAGCATTCCTTAGTCACAATGTACTGTTTTGTAACAAATTAAAAGCATTCCTTACTTTTGTTTCTAACAGACGCAGTGCACATGTTCATTCTAGGTCAATAATGTTTCACTGTGTAATAAACTGTTAATGGCAATTCATGAGTATGTTGTGTGTTTTTAGCCATGCTAGCACCACCACATTAGTTCAGATTAAAATATGTAAACAAGTATTGTTCTGTGATATTTTGTACAGACAATAATGGTTAATGATGTTGGGGATCACCTGACTTTTCAGCTAGTTTGAACGGGCCCCATTATGATTTTTGGGGATTTCTCTATCGGTTGACCAATCACAACAGAGTGGACTCTGGTTTCAGACAGATGGGGAAAAGAGGTGCTGCAGCCCAGGCAGTATGAGGAAAAATAAAGACCATTTCCCATTGGAGGCACAAAATACAAATATGAACCTGAAAATTAGCATAACAGGGACACTTTAAGATGTTACAATTATGGCTAATTATATTGAGGTAATTCATTTTTTAACCCCTGAATCTGATCTGCTCTAATTACTACATATCTCGAACATCCTTGGCTGATTTAGTTGGTCTTCATACTGCGCAATTTTGGCCTTTGTATTCAATAGCGGACATTGGAGGGGTGAAGTCTTTAGCAAGCACTTTTGTAAATAATGCTAAATTAAAAACCTGTTTATATATAATAAAAAAAAATGATGAACACTTGTTAGGTTTCAGGATCTCTCCAGCTTTATTAAAATAAGGGTCTTATTTTTGTCAAAAGGTAGGCACGGACAACAAAGTACAAAAATAGAAGAGTTCTCACATCGCAGTTCCCGCACATTCACACGTTGATATTAAAAGGAAACATTAGTAAAAAGACATTAGGAATCAGAATGTGTCAATCACACACAGTGCGAGCCCTCAGTAACAGAAGGGCTACAAAAAAAGCACATTTTCATGGACAATTTAAACATTGTTAATAACTACATTGACATTCTTTAACACAGTGCTTACTTTCAGACTATTTCTGCTCTTTGATTAGGAAGTGTTTCTGAATATTAAAATGTAAAACATGTCAATTTGAAAAGTATATAAATCTGACAGAAGTATGGAGGGGAATGGAATACAAAAAGAAAATGGCGAGAGTCTTCATTTTCCAATAGCGAGTGACTTTAGAGACTCAACAGTGAAGAGAATGGCTTTAGAGGCGAATCACTCTGACCAGGAAGCAGGGCAGTCTTTGGCTAATCATTGGGCAGTTAGTTTAGTCGCAGACAGCATGGCTTCTAAAATGTGAGACAGTGCAGAGAATGGGAGGTTGGGGATCCAATCAGATGTCCGGTCCTTTACTCCAGAGGATTTAGAGGAACGTGTGCGTCTGCCAGCAAGGCCGGTTGGAAGCACTCAATGGGGCACTGGATGTGCTGCAGGAAGAGATCAAGAGGTACAGTCAAGGTACAAATAATTATGTAATTTCATCAAATCTTTTTTCACTCTTCATTAGTTTCAGGTGAGGTCATTTATTGAGTTTCTATTTATTTGTATTTATTAAAGACATGATGAGACAAAAGCTTTGGAAAAGAAAATCTGGATAATTAATTTGATGGTGTTTGAAATAAAATGTTTTTTTGATTTAGTTTCGGACATATGCACAGTCTTGGGACAAAAAATGGTGTCAAGAAAATTCCATGTGCTACATCTTGATTAATACAACATTTAAATTATTTGATATGATTTCCACTCACGCGTACTGTGTTGCCCATTCTAACAGGCTGCAGCGGACTGGCATCCACATCACCACCTGGTCTGCGGCAGTTATCACATCTCCAGCCCTGATAAGACCAAACAAACACAAGCCTCCTTTAAACATACTTAAATTGACTCGCTGAATAAAACACAAGTCAATATACATATCGCTGAACATCAGACCAAAAGCATGGGAGGCTGATGTGTCGTACCTGCTGTCCTCCAAAGCATGTGCAGGTGCAGATGGCCCCGTGGTACTCCTTCTGCCACTGGTTTCCCAACTGGTAAGTTTTGCCATCATCGTAGCACACCGACTCATCTGTGTGAGGGTACATTCACGTTAACATTCACATCCTTTACATCTTTTTGAGACGGTTGTAAAATATATATCTTTGGGTATTAAGAGGCCTTACGTGGTTCACACTTGTACTCTCCTTTGCCATTTCCCAAGCAAGTGCAGCTCAATAATTGACCGTTTTCGTGGCGGCGTTCCCACTTCTCTCCAATGCGATAGTTGTTGTTATTGTCATTGCACCACTCTAATGACGAACAAGATGATAGTTTGACAACACAAGTGAAATATATTCTAATTCAGCTATGCAAATGTACCTACCAGGAAAAACAAATATCCTGAAAACTTACTTGATGAATCACATCTGAAGTGGCCGCTCCCCATTCCCAGGCAGGTGCACCACAGCTTGAAGCCTGTCTCTGACATCCGCTCCCATTCACTGCCAACATCATGGTAGGTTGAAGTAAAGGCATCATAACAGGAGTCCTTATCGGAGGGCACTCCCTCTGCGACTGATAAAAGATGGGAGAGGATAGATATGAGATAGATATAAGAATAATGTGTTTGTAAGCCACTAGTTATTTAAATATTGATCAGCCAGAGTAACCGCAACCCCTCTTTATGTTAACCTATTTTGGGCCATGATGGTCTTTATCTGGTTACTTTTAAAAATGATAGTCATATTTTTTTAAAAGACAAAATGTAAAATCTTTAAAAAAAGGTTTTGTCAAATAGATTTATGTAGTAAATACAAATTGTATTTCAGCAAGAGAACAGTTCATATCCAGGGGACAGGGGAACTTGTGAATTAAAGCCTGTGTTTAATAAGAATAAGGCCTGGTTTTCTATCACTGAGGTAAAGATAGACCCTTGATTATTGGCATGAGTTTAGTCACAGCAGTTCCTGTAGGATTTATTGTTGTTTTGTTTGCCAACTATTCTTTTTGCACTGAATCATTTCCATTTATTTCTCACTTCAGTTGAGCGTCAGTTGTGTGGGAACTGAGTGTGTGATTCAAGTAATTTACTTGCAAGCCGTATCTTTATCTAACTAAATTCTCCACCCTCAGTTCACTGGTTATCAAACTGAACTGAGTAGGATGCTTACTTGTGTTTCCAGCAGTGACAACCTGCTCCAGTATCTTGTGTTTGAGCGCCCCCATCAGAGCCTCCACGATCACATTGTAGTTGGCATCGGGGGACAGTCCTATCAGGGTCGCAGTGGTGGCTGTGCCTGGCAGGCGGACCTGGACAATAAAGAGGGATGAGGTTTGTCTACATAAAATTACAGAATTCCTCTAATATGATTAGTAAATATTGCTCAGATTGCATGAGGGCCTGGACTGGAGACCACTCCCCTTGTCTCTTACCTGGAACATCTTCTCGTTAAGATGAGTGAGGGGATGGCAGGACACTATGTAGGCGTTGCTCTGCTTGTAAGGCTTCCAGGAAAGAGTGGTCTGAGTTTGGGCTTCCTGTGGAACTCCGGTCTCGTTTCCAAACGTGGTGCCGATGGGCACGTTGAGCTTCAGTATGGGCAGTCTGCGGCCCTCTGCATCAGGAAGGGGCACAAAGACCAGGGGCTCACGAGCTTGCCCATAGGGGGACAGTGGATAGCCACCCCTACCATTATTTCTGTTGTCTCCGTTGTTGTTGTTGTTGTACTCTGTGTACTCCACAGTCTGGCTCTGACCACTATTCCCATCCTGGCCATTGTTGCCCACTACCTGGACTGTGTCGTCAAACTCAGGTTCAGGCACATCCAGCCTGTCATCATAACCTCCTGGGCGGTGGGGTAGAGGCAGGGGAAGCAAGGACTCTGGTTCTGTGCAGGAGAGACGGGGTTAGGGAAGCAAGCAGGTTAGATGAGGGGGAGGTAAAGCAGAGCTGCAGTAACATATCTCAGCCAATAGGAGGCGACAGATATGCAGCATTGCTGGGTTACTACTCACTGGCAGCATGTCTTAATGCAGTATTATGGACACACATGATATTTTGAATGGCATTTTCTGAAGCATTCAAAATAAAATATATATTATTGTTTTACAACCCTAAAGCTGATTGACTGCACAGTTTATCTCAAGGCCTCTGAGCTGTTGCAGCGAAACATTTTGATTGAGCTAAGCAGATTAAAGCTGCCATTCAAACCCTTACATTTGATAGTATGTTTGACCATAATATGTTTATATTGGCGCTTATGACATGATTTAAATTCAATACATTCGTCACTGTACAGACAGAAGTCTTAATACTCACGAGTCCTGATTTTGCCCGCCAGAGGTGTGCTCCTCTGTGTGTTCTGGATGGCAATGATCTTAATGATGTACTCTGTGGATGGTCTCAGGCCTGAGGAAAGAGAACAAATGTATCATATAGTGGAATAAGTAGGTTTCATCTTACTCTGAATTTTGATCAATCTAAAACCTTTTTTGGTTTGATCAGTTGACATGGCATACCAGAAATGGTGGCGTAGTTCTGCCCCGGGTGGGGTCTTGGGATGAGCTCTCGTGGTGCTCCTCCTGACACCTCGTAGGTGACGTAGTATCCTGTGATCTGTGTGGCAGGAGGCTGCCAGGTGAAGGAGATGGAGGTGGGGGTCAAAGATGTGAACTGAAGGGCCGTGGGAGCCTGGACCACCGGTGCAGCTATGAAGGAAATTATATAAAATGTTAGATCATGTGATTACTTGTTGATGTGATTAAGAACTGACTAAAAATAGTACCAATTTAATAGTGCACTCCAACAACCTTGTCTTTATTATTCTGTAACTAAGTTTTCCTTTTTCCTTAATTGCCCACAATGCAACTCAACAGCCGAGCTTAAGACTTGGTAAACTCACTCCCTCTCTAGTGTGCCTGCATTAACTAAAGCATTGTGTGCCTTCGTTTTTTCCATCTTTCTCTCTCTCCTTAACATTGCTTGTATTCATATTAAACTGTAAACATTTCTGGATGTGAAAAAATCAGATTTTAAATTCAAATTATGAAGAAATGTATTCCCAATGAAGCAGAGAGATCATCACACAGATTTGTGTAGTACCTGTTTGAATGGTGACATTAATTGGGTCACTCTGTGTATTGCCATTCAGAGTATACAGGTTAACAGAGTAGGTGGTGCTGGGCTGGAGACCTTTAAAAAAAACAAAAGAATAACATGAAACAGTGAAATCACACTTCCAAACATGTAAAATGTGTAAACTGTTTCCAGCTTTTACGTTGTGTTTAGCAGTCAGATGTAGTGTACCTGTCAGAGTGTAATCGTTTGAATCTCCTGGGATGGTCTTTCTGATGGTGGGGTGGGAGCCACTGGGCGATGCTTCAATAAGGTAACCAGTGATGGTTTCCACCTTGGAGCGCCATGTCAGTGTGAAAGAAGTATCCTTCACATCAGAGATACGCACACGTCGAGGAGGACTGACATCTGCATTGAGGGGAAAAAGCAGTGGGTAACGACTGATGATGGGTAATGCTTTTCACAGGTCCTTAAATTCCTGAGTATTTGTGAAAAAAAACATTAATGGATGTGTTTATTTTGTGCAAGAATAAAAGTGTAAGGGAATTTCACTTAGCTTTCAAACTTGTAAATAATTGTATTGCTCAACTTACACAATATACTGTTTTGCTGTCCTGGGAAATGTCATAAGGATGCCATTGTCTATTGGTAACAATAATTTACCCAAATATATGTCTCAAATGACACTTCGATGGGAATTTAGAAGAATTGGTTCTGATAAGTCGTTGAAAGAATTTGATGATTAAGAAGGTGTGTGTACCCTGACGTGTTCATTTTTACAGTGCAGCCAGTTACCTTGCAGTGTGGTGGCCTCGCCCTCCAGCGGTCTGCTGGTGACAGAGTTCTTCAGGGCGTAGACATGTATCTGGTATGTGGTGGCCACCTACGATACACAGCCATACAGTTTATATTTACTCACTGCCTGACTATAAACCCATGTAAATACTGAGATAAGAACTCTTGTTACCATGAGGCCTGGTACAACAACACGCGTGGTGTCGGGCGCAACGTTCATCTCTTTGGTGGGGCCATTGATGTTCTTCGGGTTGACGACCACACGGTAGCCTAAGAGGCGTGCATTGGGCGCGCGCCATGATACAGTGAAGGTGGAGGGACTGATCTCTGTTATCACTAGGTTGGTTGGAGCAGGGATCACTAAGACAACAAAAACACATACAAAAGTTAAGTCAAGGAACAAATGAATTAGGTCAAGATTATGTGGATGTTTTTGGTGTATTTCTACCTGTGGCCTGGGTTCCCACCAATGGTGTGCTGGGGGTGCGACCATGTAGGGCAATGACTTTGACGGTGTACTCTGTCCCGGGGTGAAGGTTTCTCAGCAACACAGTGTCCTGGTCACCTCTGGGTGCTGGACGCAGCTCCCTCTCGATCTCCTCTGAGCTGGAGTACAGGACACGGTATGATGTCACCGTGCCGTCTGGACTGTCCCAAGTGATGCGCATGGAGTTGGAGTCTATCTCAGAGAAGGTCAAGTCCTTGGGACGGTCCATAGCTGCAGGAGAAATGTAAGACGTGGGAATTAATTTCCACTCTGAACAGTTGTTTTGATCAGCTCTTACTGAATTGAGTCCAACTTACCAGTGATAGCATTATCCACCACAGGGGAGGAGGGTTGTCCATCATTGCCCAGCGCATAGACACTCACAACATACTCCACAGTGGGCATGAGACCGGAGAACGTCATCTGAGTTTGATCTGTAATAGACATGAAGAAAATGAGCCAATGAGACGATGATACTGTGTTGGTAAAAATATTAAGTTATAAAATGTTTTCTTTTTCCGGCCTGTCTTACCAGGAGCCACCACCTCAGTATAAGAGGGTCCCAGGCCATTCTTGGGGACACTAGTGACTCTGTAGCCTCTGATTGGTCCCTGAGCAGGAGACCAGCGCACTGTGAGGGCGTTGTCAGTCACTTCTGTCAGTCTCATGTCAGTGGGGGGCTCGGTATCTATGAGACAGGTGGACATATAACAAGCTTTAGATTTAGTTTAACCCATTAACATTTTCTTTTCCCCCCAGGAACTGTTTTTTTTTTTTCATGTTGCTGTACCAGTCTTGTGCATGATGGAGACCGGGGTGCTGGAGGAGGGGCTGTCCCCCCTTCCTGTAACAGCAAAGACCGTGATGGTGTAGTCAGTGCCTGGTGACAGACGGGTGATGGTGGTAGTAGTCTGAGTGCCGGGGATTATAAACTCTTGGGGAGCCTCGCCACCTAGGCAGAGATTGAAGAAGGGTCACGTGTTAGATTCCGACTACAGTTGAGGTTAAGAGGAAACAAGGAAATCATTAAAAGTGTTGTGCAGACTTGTGTCTTCATAGCTGATCTTGTAGTTCTTCACAGAGACAGAGGGGGCCTCCCAGCGGATAGTGATGGTGGACGGGGTGGATGATGTTACTTCCAGCTCTGTTGGAGCATCTGAGACTGGAGAGGATAAGAAAAGGAAGAAGGCTTATAATAAATACATTCTATAAAATCACATATGAATAGTTCTGATCAAGATTCGAGAAAAATAAAGGTGTTAGTAGAAATCAGAATATAAACTCACTGGTGGCCTGTGTGCCAGTCAGAGGCTGACTTTCCTGATCGCGGCTGACAGCATACACATATACCAGATACTCTGTCTCTGGTGTCAATGCAGTCAAAGTGAAGAAGTTCCTGGTCGGGGGAAGCTTCTCGTCTTTCGGCCGCCCACCACTCGTTTTTGAATAGCGGATGCGGTAACCTGTGATACTAGCGGTCGGAGCCAGCCAGTGAACGGTGAAGGAGTTGGTGCCAATGTTTGAGAAGTCCAAGCCAGTAGGGGAGTCCAGAGCTGAAAGGTAACGGAGAGACACTTTAAATAACAAGCAATGAATTGCATTAAAAAAATACCAAAGCAAAAGATCTACAGCGACATCAGTGGGTTGTTTACCCACACACATTGGAACCTCACCTAAAATTACACCATGTTTATTTATTATAGGTTTGTTTTTTATTGCCTAATATATATCTTTTTATTGTTTATTAAAAGAAAAAAATGATGCAATAATTTCCTGATTTTTATGTTTATTGCTTCCGTTTTTTTCATTTTCTTTTCTTTTTTGTTGATATGCCTGAATTTTTTTTTGGGGGGGATTAAACTCGAATGAAAATGCCCATATCATTCACCCACGTTAGAAACCACTGGCATACTCACTTGTCCTCTGAGTTCCTGTGGCTGGTTCACTCACTCGCTCCCCGTACACACATACAACACTGATACTGTACTCAGTGTTGGGCAGCAGGTCTATATGGGAATGGAGATGGGTACACCGTTAGAATGGATTGACGTGGAGCATTGCAAAGAAGCCAACTTAATTTGGGCTTTAAACACAGCTTTCTGTCAGATGTGTTTAAACAGATAGTCTTACTCTCCAGAAGGAAGGTGTTGGTGGCTCCGCCAACATTAACCTCCTTGATGTCATCGTCTGTGGCTACAGGGTGGTAACGGATGATGAACCGAGAGATGTCGCTGGCTGTGGCAGCATGGGGAACTGTCCATGTCACCCTAATGTTGTCAGGACCAACCCCTGTAAATTGCAGGTTGGTGGGAGCTGGAATGGCTGAAAAAAAGAGAGGTTAAAGTTAAAGCCAACACAGGGGAAAAAAAGTGGTTGCTTTAATAAAATTAGGATGTTGGAAAGAAAATATTATGAAAGTGATGCATTTCTGATATGTACTGTAGTGTTTGAGTTAGTCATGTGAGTTATTGAAAGGTTTGTTAATGTGGCTTCATCAGTTTTCACATAAAAAAAACAAAAACCCAGCCCTTCCCATGGATGGAGTAAAAGAGATAAATCACCAGCATGCGTTTGCTTTGTATATGTGGTCGGCTCGCTTTCCCCCTCCTCTGCAACAGTGACGATACTGATGTCATAGTCCACACCCGGCTCCAGACCACGAACCGTGTAATAACCAGCAGATGCTTGCGCCATATCTTGAGAAATTGGCAAGCTCTCGCCTGAGGTCACTACGGTTATCTTGTAAAAAGTGGTTGGATAGTTCTGAGGGATCCAACGCAGGCCAATGGTGGTGTCAGTAATGTCGACAAAGTCAATGTGTCTCAGTGTGGGGATGTCTGAAAGGGTTAGGCCAGTTGCAAAGTGCAAGCATAATTAGAGATATTACATTAGTTATACCAAACACATTCATTTCATTCCCAAATAATGCAGTCAGAGATCCAGAGTTGTAGCCATGCAAAACAAATATAAATACAAATGACTGAAGTTCATAAACATTAACAGTGGACTTATAATAAAAGCATTTTAGTGATGATTAATAATACTGTTCTCTGCATGCTCCAGAAAAGAAAGTTAATTCCAAATAATAAACATGCCCCCCATGCATTATACCAATGAGATGTTAGTTATAAGTTATGATAATTAAAGCTGCATTAAAGAATGTGTTTTACATAGGAGTTGCTCTTAGTAAAAGAATATAATAAATGATGGCCCAACTCTGCTTCTCTTTAGCCTATTACGCATCTCTCAAACTAAAGTGAGTGAGGATGAAGAAGAATACATTCGATGAGAATACTGAAAATATAACTGTAATGACAGGTGGAGTTAGCTGCTGTTTGATCGCAACTCAGCCCTTCCACCCAAATACAAATCTTTATTTTCTCTCACACAGACACAACAGTCTTTACTGTGGACAAAGTTGTGTTTTTGAGGCCTGTCTACATGTTTTCAATGCTTTCCTGTTGGCTCCTACCTGGTGTGACAATTGTGGAGACAGGCACACTTTCCAAATGGCCCTTGGTACTGAAGACACTGATGTTGTACTCAGCACCCGGATTCAGACTCTCCAGCATAAATGAGGTTTGATCAGCTCGGAGTAACTCTTCCAGGGTGTTTCCTCGCTGGCCGTCGGTAGGTGTGCTCGTCACTCTGTATCCTGTGATGCCTGAAAAAATGGATATGGTAAAAAAAAATTCAAGATGTTCCTGAAATGTATTATCCCAAAGGGAATACTGGGAAGAATCATTTGTCCTCGTGGAAAGAAATACCATCCAAAGGCCAGGGTCTAGACTTGGCAATATTCAATGTGCTGGCAGTGCATAGGGAGCACAGTCAATATTTACCTGGGGTTTTGGAAGCTACCCAGTAGACAACGAGATCTCCTGTGATTGAGTTGGACTGTACTCTGAGGTCAGTGGGGGGAGACAGGGCTGCAAGCAAAGGATAGAAGATTATGACACAAGTATGTGAAACCTGTTTCATTGCAGCAGTAACTTCTTCGTGTCGGTCGACAGAACATTCTCCACTCTTTGGCCAAGGCGTTTGCCCTAGGAGGCTGAAATTGTGTATGTGTGTGATGATCTGAGTTCATGCCAAAAGGGGATGTGGCAATGCCAGTAACCAAAATGCGCATGAGTTCGAAACAAATTCACATATCATGGCCAAACTCATGAACCGTTTGTTGTAGACTCTGGTGGGAGGAATCATTGCACTGTGCATTGTGTGTGTGTGGGAATCAATTCACATGGAGATGCATACATGTACAATATTACAACTACAGCACATTTGCAAATTCTCGGAATTGGATACTCACAAGTCACAACGGTGCGGGTAATAGGGTTTCCACGGTTGCGTCCGTTGAAGATGGGCTGCACGCTGTAGATGTACTGAGTTCCAGGGATCAGCCCGGGAATATAAACACTTCCAGTTTCAGAGGTCTCTTCTCTGGGAGACTCGCCTTCCACACTGGGGAGCACAGACAGCTGGGGAGAAGGAGGCAGAGGCAAACCCAGTAAATATACCACTGCAAAAGACACTAAATCTTCATTTTGAGTGTTAATGTTTGGCCCTCTAGGAGAAGTATGGCCAGCTGCAAACAAAATACTGACATAGCATCACCAAAACTCATGTCACTCTAGTATCCCCTTTCACTTCACACACATTAAGTCTGATTATGACCAGGTTATCTCTAAGTGTAATGATGAAGTAAGTTTTTTGGACATGATGAAAAGGTGTCTACCTTGTAGCTAAACCTGCGGACAGGTATCCAGGTCACGATGATAGAGGTATCAGTGACCTCAGTGCTGAAAGCAGGGTTATTTCCCATCTGGGGAGCTGGGAGGAAAAAGACAGAAATACAATTAATTTCATTGCAAAAATGTATTTGCAGATGTTTTGATTGTTTTCATACTGACCGGTGGTAAAATATGTAGTGACACCCTCGCTGAGGTCATTGTCCAGGTCAGAGTGCAGGGTGGCAGTGTACTGGGTTTCTGGGCGTAAGTTCCTCAAAGGGAACTGGGTGACCCTGCCAGGGATCCTCTTCTCTATGGGGCTGGATCCTTCAATGCTCAGGTAGAGGCGGTAACCACTGACGATGGCACGGGGAGCCTCCCAGATGACCACGGCACTATCGGGCCTGATGTCAGTAAAACGCACATCGGTGGGCGAATCAGGTTCTTGAGAGGGGAGAAAGAAAACAAACATGTGCATGAAAGAAAGTCTCATCTTTTATTGTAAACCCTCTGCGTCTAACTCAAGCTCCTTTGTTCATGACAATACTTACTGGTAGACTTTTCTGCCACAAGAGGCTGGCTCTCCGATCCACCATTCATGGCGTAGATGTAGAAGCGGTACACTGTTCCTGGCTGGAGATGGGTTATATCGGCATATGCGTTGGGTGAAGGAGGCAACTGCAGGACCCTCGTCTCAGAGCCATCGGGAGCAACGGGGGTGAAGTGGACCCTGTAACCGGTCACCTCGCTGGGTGGACCGGTCCAGGTGATGCTGATCTTCATGTCTGAAACCTCGTAGAACGTCAGGTCTGTGGGAGCCGGGACCTCCTCTGTGAGAGGGAGAGGTAGATTGATAGACAAAAAGGTAAAATCAGAATCAGGCTTTATTAAAGTATCCTTTGGAGTTATTCACCACTATTGATGTAGCAATGTTTGAATCATTTTGTACTCATTGTGTTAGGAGAACGCCTCAACGCAATCACCTTAAGCTTTATATGTACTGTATGGGAAAAATAAAGTACAGTAAAAATATCTAAAAGATTAATGTATATATTTCAGATAAACTGAGGATTTAGAAAGTGTGTGTGTGTCTCTGTGTCAGCTGCACATGCATGTTTGTTTTTCATGTGTCTGTTTCTGAGCCCACCGTGAACTAATGAAAGGTCATTCAGGGGCCACGACAGGGTAAGATCAAAAAAGTCATAACAGACCGTGATAAGGATAAGAAGATATTACTATGCTAAAGCTATAACATATTTTGACATAGCAATGTTTAGTCAAGCTTAGTATTTCCAAAACAGTGGAGAGCACTGCCTTAAGCTCTCCGGCCCTATAAGGAATCTTTAGCTCTGTGTATAGTCCTAATCTGCCATATGACAGCCAGAAGATAAATTTTTAAATAAAATACAAACGTACTGTGAATGTTTTAATAGGAAAACATCTTTCCATTGGCTTAAGTTATGAGGCATTTTTATGAATATCATTTTTTTGATCAACTGAAAGATATGTGTCTGTTTAAAAATGTGCACCTGGGAGAGGGGATCCAGCGGTGTTGACCTGTACAAAAACAGGCTCACTCTCCTGGTCCTCCTCCACGGCATAGATGCTGATGTTGTAGAGGTGACCGGGGCGAAGGTCAGCCAGGGTCACGGAGGTCTCGGAGTCGGGTAAGTTCAGCTCAGTGCTGCTGCCTTCCAGAGATGGAGTGTACACCACACGGTAACCTGGCAGGCACAGAGACAATAAAATGGATCTCTACATCAAAAACTACCAATTTGAATCACTTATAAACAGACAAACAGAGACATGCTCTTTACCAGTGATAGGAGCCTGAGGCCTCGTCCAGCTGATTCGGATGGAGGACTCTCTCACCTCATCGACCACATGCTGAGCCGGGGAGTCAGGAGCTGCAGAGGGGAAAGAAGATGAAAATTGGTCACGTTGCACCATGTTTGAAAATGTCCAAAATTGGCATAGTCCTGACATTTGTTTTCATGACAAATAGAAGGAGAGGGATTCTCCCACCTGTAGTCTGGGAGGTCGTCAGGATGAGGTTTGGCTGTCCCTGATTCGGGAGTTCGTAGACGTTGACGTTGTATCTGCGTCCTGGCAGGAGGTCACCAATGGTGAGAGAGGAGGCCGTGCGAGGAACATCTGGAGACACCAATACAAAGTTAGTTATTATACGAATCAGTGATACAAAATGAATCTGAAAGAGGGTTTCCATAGATATATGAGAACCTAAACTGAAGAAAGAACATGCCAATGAATCAATCCATTCAATCATTTGCATGAGACATAATGAAGGTTTCAGTGATGCTCAAATTATCTCACCAAGGACTTTGGGCTTGGCCCCGTCCTCACTGAGCTCGTACTCCACCCTGAAGCCAGAGATGGTGGCAGACGCAGATGTCCAGGACACAACGAAGCTGTTGGAGGTGATTTCTGTCACGGACTCAGAAGTGTCCACCACTGCAGGAGGTGCGGTCGTCTCTCCCTCCGATGTTTCCACTTGAGAGAAAAAGCGATATAATGTTCCTGTGAAAATGTCTTTAGATCTGTGTCCTTGAGAGGTCACTAACTGCTTGAGTTTACTCACAGGAACCGTGGGTGGTGGTGAAATCAAAGCGTGTGACCTCGCGGCGTCCGTAGCGCAGGATGCTGATCAGCTGACCCTCGTAAGTGATGCCTGGACGCAGCCCGCTGATGGTGTACGATTGAAGGTGGCCGGGGACGTTGACCTCTCTCCAGGGTGAACGGGTACTTTTCTACCATAAGAGGTACAAAAATAAAAGGTGATGAAGGTCAGGTTTTCATTTACTTGAAGCATAAATTGGCCTGGCATGAAATATGCTATGCAAAAACAGCTACTAGATGAAGCCTGTAGTGAGATGTTTTCACAACTGGTTATTTAAATGTCTAGACTTTAGGCATGCGTAAATCGTTAAAATGAAAGCACAGATATGATAAAGCTGAATAGAAAACATTATGTGCAGAGAATTTACTGGAATAAGTCTGAAAATTAGGACTTTATATGGTAGTCTGTATATTTTGGAATGGACTCTGGCTCGGACTCGTTTACTGCAATTTCCTGCTTTAGCGGTATTTAGACTGGCTATGCACTCTGTCGGAAAGCTTTCTCAGCAGGAGAGCCAGACGAGGGCGTTAAGTAACATTTATTTCTAAAATACACAACCCCCTTCAGAGGAAATCAGTTTGAATTCAATTTAAGCTTCATAAACATTTCAGCCAGCTTGTTAGTTTTCGAGGTCTTCAAAGAGAGAAAAAATGTGTAAGAAAACAAAATCCCAGGAAGGGAGATGTTTTCCTTGGAGTCTGTGTGTTGGTGCATGCAGACTGTAAAGGGGAGTTCATGTAACCTCTAATCTCCTAGTCTGTCCATGTTCAAAAGTTTAGTCAACATTACCAAAAGCAATTGACTGTTTGCTTACCTTTACTAATACTACCTGTCTGAATATTTATAACAACCCTTTCATTAAAAAAAACATACTTTCTTTTACTAAGTCAATATATAAAAAGGGGGACTCACAATTCTCCATTTGAGGATGTACTGGGTAATTTGCACAGATGAAGGTGGGTTCCACTGAATGGGATGGGAGTCTGGCTGTTTTCCTGCCTCTGTGATGATCACCTGCACAGGTCTGTGGCCATCTGAGGAGTTAGAGCAGCATTAGTAGGAGAAGATTCAGGGGAAGACATCAGGAGAGAGTTGGAGAGACCGAGTACAAAGCTGCTACTAGCAAAGAGAAAAAAGAACTCACACACAATGTAACAGTGTGACCTGTAGCGAGTGGGGGTGAAAGTTGGCTACTCTTTGGTGAGACTCTGTCATATGGATTCATCGTTTTGAGACAGAACCAAACCACCAGACACTGCTAAACCAGCTCAAAAACCCACTGACATTACAGTCCCACCAAACACTGGATCACTATATTCATCACAGTTTACCTAGCTAACATAAAGCTTCACTATCTGAAGCACACAGCTTTGATCATGGTGAGATAAATGTCGCAACTGCAGGTTTTGAGGTCAATGCTTGTTTCAGGATACACAATGTGCTTCAGTACAAAGTACCACATTAAGCAACTTTATAGGGAGATATTGGAGGCAGGATTTGTTTAACACCCCCCCCCCCCCTTTCCCAGCCCAGCATCGCTTTCTCCTCAGCAGGTCAGCAGAGCAACACCAGACGGGGGAGGAAGACTTCTCCTACTACAAAGACTAAGGGAGAGACAGGGGTGATGTGATTGGCAAGCACTTCTCCATTTGGTAACTTCAAAGTAGAGAAAAAACACCAAACCCCCGCTTCTCTCCACAAACCTGAACTTTATGAGGGCAACGTAGGAGGGTTGAATAAGTAGAGATAACACAAATAAAGCTCAAACAGCTGTCTGACAATCTGCTGGAAAGAACTGAGAGGCTAATTCATTTACTTGTAAAGTCAATAATACTTCCAAATTAGATAAGAGAAAAATTCATTGAATAAATAATCCAATTGAATAATACATGTTATCTGGTAGATGGCAGGGGTTTAGTATTTAGGTCGCTCACCCCATAATTAAGACTCAGACGAACCAGGGTTATCACAACTATAACAAATGGATCGTCCAAAAATGTAGAATTTAAAATGGAGCTGAAGTTGAAATCTGATTGCCGTTTCTTTTTCCTATGATCCTTAAGTGGACTTATGATAGTAAATCCATAATGGACATCAGAGATATTTAAGTGAAAGCCATTAAAACTCTTGATACTGTATGTATATATCTGTATCATGTCTAAGTATACAAGATCCATCAAAAGGGCACTGGTTAAAGTCTTCTGGCGATTTTTCCATCATGTTTGTTGTACTGGGATATATATAAAAACTTGAACCAGCATATTCCAACCATGTGGACTCTGCAGAAACAGATCAGTTGAAGTGGAAAGCGACTTTAAAGCGATGGTGTACGGAGGATTAGTTTTCTTACCTTGGTAGGTCTGCTGGGGTTCACATCTCAACTCTCCAACCCCGTTGCCATAGCAATAACAGCGGTAGTTGATGCCATGGATGGATTTCTCCCATGTGTCTCCGGTCTGGTGAAAGGCCCTGGTTTGTGGCTCCTGGCACTGATCTATTAGTTAAAAACAGAGGAAGACAGCAGAGACAGGATGAGACAAAGTAGGATTGGGTGGTCGTTTTCCTATAAAAGTAAATCATCATCAGCCGAGCTATTGAGACATAAACGCACCGATAGCATCACACTTCCAGCGACCACGTCCCTGTCCATAGCAGGTGCAGTTCATCATGTAGCCCTCGTCGTGGCGCTTGGAGAAATCCTGGTTTATATCATAGTTCAGGCCATCAACAATACACTGATCTGGATACGTAGATAAAGGAGGAAAACCAACTTTAAACTTAAGCTTCAGGACAACAGTTTTGTTTCAAGTCCAAATGGGAGTTAGCTCTCTGACCTCTCAGCTGTGAGTGAGCGACACAGCTCCACTCCCCGCGGCCATTGCCCAGGCATGTGCATTCCATCATGTGACCCATGACATCATGGCGTTTGTCCCACTTGTCGCCTACACGGTGCATGGCTCCATCGTTGGTGGTACATAATTCCTCATGGGCTACAAAAAGAAAGACAGGAAATAAGAATGAATAAAAAACAAACAGTACCGTGTGGGGGGGGAGTAATTACTTTTGGTTCAGTTAGGCCAGTATCAGCCCTCTTTATGTAATAAGTAAAAAGTAATTACTCTTCCATAACTATAAGTCCCCCCCAAAACATCTAGTGTAATTGCATTCTCTACAAAGGAAATATCTCCATAGCATGTTAGCATTTATACAAATTGTATCTTTCACTTTCTTGTTATATAGGACCTTTAAACAGTTAAAGCTAAGCTAGCCGTTTCCCCCTGTTTTCAGTGTTTTCATGTACTGGCTGTATAGGTCCATATTTACCAACATATATTTAAGGAGGTATCAATAATTCTCGGCAAGAAAGTGAATAAGTGTATTTCCTAAAACTATTCCTAAACACCTTTTATTTTCCTTTTATGTTGGGAAGGTAAACTGGAGACATTTCAAAGCTATTGTTCTGATACTGTCTCTAAAAACACACACACACATACCAGAGATGGAGTACTCGAGTCCTGGACTCGGACTCGAGTCGGACTCGAGTGCCGATTTTCGGGACTCGTGACTCGACTCGGACTCGCGCACTGAATGACGCGACTCGGACTTGGACTCGTGAATTCTCGCACACGATGACTTGGACTCGGACTCGGACTCGTGAATTATCGCGTACGCTGACTTGGACTCGGACTCGGACTCGTGCATTTTTCCCCCCACGATGACTCGGACTCGACTTGTACATTGACGCTCCGACTTGGACTCGGACTCGGACTCGAGCAAGTTTTCTATGGAGTCTGATGTCCTCTATCCTGGCGTGTGCACCGGCTGCGAGGCGAGTTCACGTACTGGGCCCCGCTATTCCAGTCTAAAGATGTCTAGAGACACACCCCGCATCTTGCTGTATGCTTTCACACATTCTGCTTCCACATTGGAAAAGAGCAGCGCAAAATGCTCTATGTGGAAACAATATTGAAGAGAAGGCTCCGTAACACATTACTCTAAACATCGAGTTCAGACATATAGGCTGTCTTGAACACTATCATCAGAGTAACGTGATCTAATCAATACATAAAGATTCAGCCGATAACACGAAAGCACACGGCTACTTAACATGCAGAATGACGTCATTTTGCATGCTAAGTAGCCATGTGCTTTCTGGGGCTAAATCTTTATCAGTAAACCGATTTAACCGGTAAAAGTTCCTTCAAAATAAGAGTCCCGATCTTATTACTATCAAAATAAAAGTGCAAAACGAAAACTTTACCATAGGAAAATATTGGCATACAAATATAATCACTTCTCTAAAAGGTAACTAATTTTAAACATAGTTTATTTATATATAATAATAATAATAATATTAATATTAGTAATAAGCTTTATATTTGTATAGTACTATTACAAGAATTGTAGCCAAACTGGTTTCACAGCAGTTCAATAGACAGATTAGTATAACATGACAGGATAAAAGCAATGTAGAGGAGCAGCTACATTTCAACACATATATCCACGAAGATTAATACATGAAGACTTGTGACTCGGACTTGACTTGGACTCTTCTTAGGTGACTCGGACTTGGACTCGGACTCGAACACAGGTAATGATGACTCGGACTCGGACTCGACTCGGACACTCCTTGGGTGACTCGGACTTGGACTCGGACTCGAACACAGGTAATGATGACTCGGACTCGGACTCGACTCGGACACTCCTTGGGTGACTCGGACTTGGACTCGGACTCGACTACGACTCTCCCTTGGTGACTCGGACTTGGACTCGGACTCGAAGAGTGGTGACTCGAGAGTGACTTGGACTCGTGAATTGGTGACTTGACTACAACACTGACACATACACACACTCACCGGCCATGGGGCAGAATCCAAAGCGCTGCTCTGTGTCGTAGTCGTGGGTGGTGCCACACCACCTCATGCTATCACGTCGCCCGTCAGAGGTGCAGTCGGTGTAGTTGCGGCCGCTATAGAGGAAGGGGAAGTGGCACAAGGCACCATGGGAGTTTCCACCTCGGGTTCCCACAACGGCTAGAATAGAGACAGGGAAATCTCACCTTATAATATATCCATAATGCCATGTTATGTCTTCTTTATATTTTGGGGACTGTGATAGATTTGTCAATTCTTGTAATATGTTGTTGTTGTTGTTATAGCAAAATGAATTTATGTCCAAACAGAAATGAACAAAAACATATTTTGATTGATGATAAATACAATTCTATGGCAGTTTCTACAGACTTTTTCAAGGCAAGATATTGAGAGGGAATATTAAATATGGATGATATTGACAGGCAATGGCTGTATTTATAAAAGGTCAACATCAGCCCAGTATATCTACAAAACTAAAACAATGGTCAAGCCCAGGTTGAAATCCCTGTTCCTAAATCTCACCATTCTTCTCAGTACAGAAAGAGTACTGCTGGTCTTTCTCATAGTCTGAGGTTGTCGAGCACCAGAGCTGTCCATCCGTGCGTCCGTCTGAGGTGCAGGAATAGAAGGTCCTTTCCATGAAGACAAACGGGAACACACATGGCTGGCCGTCAGAGTTGCCACCGTATTCCTGCTTCCTGGACTCTGCACAGACCGGAAGGGGAAAGTCAAGAATGAGGCAATTACAGCGGAGACAAACCATATGCATCTAATAATGGTGATTATGGTGGGTGTTGTGACTTGAGTCTGGCGCTCTAAAAGGCATTTAATGTCAAAGAAACCCAACAAGAAACATAAAGGATCCCACAGTTTTTTTATCATTATTCTTCATTCTTCACAGAGACCCCTGCTTTCACTCACCCCACTCCTGGCAGCTCACTCCGTTGCCCAGACAGGTGCAGAGCATCTGCGTGCTGCCCTGGCTTCTGAACCAGCGCTGTCCATCGTAGTAGGTGGCTCCAGAGTCGGTGCGGCACGTCCCCTCAATGGGGGGCTCAGGCTGCTGCAGAGTCAACGAATGGTCGGGGGTCAACACGACAGCACCTGAGGCTGTATGCCACCAAACAGAATGAAAGAAGGATGAATGTCAGAAAAGATCACAGAAAAGTTTTTTAAAACTTTTAGCAAATGTAACCTTGAGCAAAGAGTCTCACTTCGGACTGCGTTGTGTCTCTCACACTTCCACTCTCCGCGACCATTTCCTAAGCACTGACACTGCAGGATGTGTCCACTTGCGTCCGCTTTTTTCCATGAGTCTCCGATACGGTAGGACATCCTGGTTTCCTGGTCGTTGCAACGGTCTGGTGGGAGGACAACAATGGTCAACAGCCAATACTGAAGAATGTAAAAGTGTGTCCATGTGTGTGTCTACACTCTTCTTACTCCTTGAGGTGCATGTGATGCGTCCATTTCCCTCTCCTAGACAGGTGCAGTCGAGCATCATCCAGCCTTGGTATGGCTTCTCCCAGGTCTCCCCCACGATGTATGATGATGCCACGTTGTTGTCGTAGCAGCGCTCGGCTGCACAAAAAACAGAATATGTATTGCATCTGCAGTAGTTTACAAGACACAGTAAGAAATCACTTGAAATCACAGCTGCTAAACCACATGGGAAAAACAAACCAAGTGAAAATCAATAGCTGTTGCGTAAGATGGGCAAAAAAGGGGGTCATGCTCTCTTGCTCACCTTGTTTGCCTTGACTGTTGTCAAATATTGACAATACTATCAAACTCAGTCATGCTTCTGAGAAATGACCCTGTCAGTAAGTGTGTGTGATTGTGTGATAGCAGCTGCATATAAAAGCGTGCATGTTAGTGTTAGGGTTATCTGTATTTCAGAGTTCTTTTTTGGTGTTCACGTCCTGGTCACCCCACACGTTTAAATGAATCAGGTCAAAGTACTCACCCACAGGTTTGCAGGTCCACTCTCCTTTTCCATTTCCAAGACACACACACTCCAGCATGTAGTCAGCCGTCTCGTGAGGCCTCTTCCAAGTGTCCCCGATTTGATAAGAGCTCCCACCTTCATGGCATCGATCTGTGGAGAAAAGAAAATACTTAGCTGCATTTGTTTGAAATTATTGCACTATAGTAATACATTGGATTTGTATAGCGCCTTTCCTAATGCTCAAAGACACTTTACATAAAATCAGAAACAGAAACAGTACAAAGAAAAAAGCAGTAGTCCTAATCCAAGTGCGAGTATAGTGTGAGGGGGGTATTGATCAGAGTTTGAAAGCTAGAGTGAATAAGTGAGTTTTGAGAGATTTTTGGATGGATTCAAGAGTGTTGGCCTTTCAGTATGACACATATCCATCATTCAAATTTGATATGCAGTCATTAATACAATTTGCGAAAAACATTTAATTAAGAAATCATGATGTAAAGTATTTCTAATACATGTAAGGAGCAGGAAAGACATACCTCTCTTGTTTTGTCAAGAAAAATATCTTGATTAATCTAAAAAGCTTTTAATTTGAATTAAATACAACACGCTTAAATTGATTTAAATTACAATATTTAACTGATTTAGGACAATATTTTACAATTGTTTTTTGAAGTAGGTATTTCATTATTCTGGTTACTCACTTGCAATGGTACAGCTGATCTTTCCACGTCCAGAACCGATACAGGTACAGTCCCATATCATCGCATCCTTTGCCCTCTCGTAGGTTTCACCCACCCGGTATGACTGGGCATTGTACTTATCATAACAGGACTCCTCCACTGAGAGAACAACAGAGGAATAATGTTAAGAGTGTGTTGATAGCGCTGAGTCAGTTCTGGTGTTTTAGTCATGGTGTTGATATTGACACAACATTCTGAAACAAGTGGCAAGGAGCCAATAACTCTTGTCAATCTTTTTCCAGATGTGGAAAGTGTTAAGACATTTCTGTATGGGTCGGTTTCTCACTGACCTTCAGGTTTCGATTTACACTTGATGCCTGCTGCTCCATTGCAGGTGCACACCAGTGTACTGCCGAGGTAGGGTTTGTCCCACTGCTCGTCCAGTCTGTATGAGCGACCATTCTCCTCACAGCCGACTAGAAAATCAAATACATGGATTATGACAAAGATTATTAAACATTCAAAACCCTAAACCTGCCATTAAATATGTGCATGATTTAACATCATTTAGGATATTAAACTAAAAAATGTTTGATATTTATGATGGAAGTCCTTGTACCAACCTGTAGTAACGGCGGCTGCATCCCGGAACTCTGGATACACCTGATGTTGGCCGGATTGTCTTTTGCTCTTTTTTGGCAATCCGTGGACTGCGCTGCTGACGCACAGCGCAACCAGCAACCCTGTCAGCGGGCCACCGGTCATTTTGTGGAAAAGTAAGAACTTCAAGGTTAAGAAGAAAAAAAACGAAGCAAGTTAACGAAGCAAGTTTTGCAAAAGAAGCGCGTGCAGAACTAAAGTTTAGCTTGGAGAGATCTGATTTGTTTTACTCTCTGCTCCTAGCTGCCTCCTCGCAGCTGGTGCACCAGGCCGAACAGAAGGAGCGCGCTGCTTTTATACCCGGGAACACCGCTGCAGCCTGCAAGAGGGGAGGGCTTTAACCGGAGCTCCGGACGACCCGCCCGAGTGTGAGCAATACTGACCGTCAACACAAAAAACCACAAGACAAAAATAACATTAGGGTATAAAGATGAATAAGCATTTTAAATTAAAATGTCTTTTCAGCGATTAAATCAGATCTCGGTACATGTGAGATGGAACAACGACCCTTGGTCAGCAGAGGAAACATAAAACATGAAATATAAAACCCATTATTAATCTAAGAAATAGTGATGCTAGAGACAAATCTTTTTTAGGGTCTAGGACGCTTTACTTTAAATCATGGGCAAAGGATTTATCCAATTAAGTGCACTCTATGACTATAACAATTCTATGAAACATTGCTATCAATATGCCAAAACAAAGGGTAAAGATATACTGAGAAGATTTGTTAAGCACTCCCAATTTCTGAAACCTGGTAAAGATCATAATCCCAAATATTTGGGTTAGTGCTCTGATTTAAAACCCCAGAAATTCCAAAAGGCCCGCCCAGCTCTTGGGTTTGGAAGTGTGCATATAGGGAACTATAACCACATCAGGCAGTATATCTATAACATTCTTTTCTGTTCAAATCGTTTGGGAGTCCATGGTGGCTTAACGCCCCTGAGCAGCAGACTCCGGCACTCTTTGAAACTTTCTGCATCATGTCTGAGTTCAATTTAAGGTTTCTGTCAATGTTGCAAAATCACCATTTTGCATATTTAAATCACTTGAAACAGTTTAGGATACCACTACATTGACCTTTAATGTATACAGTTACCTGCTTTTAAGATGATGTTCTACTGTAATCAGTATTACTGAACACCTCAGAAAGTTTTACTTCAATCCTATTCACCTTCCACTGCATAATCAAACACACGCATACATGCTTTTTCTTAAATCATACTCAGACTGCCTCGTATTCAACATTCTAAAACGAAATAAATGTTGCTGTCAGTTTCATTGTGAGTAACTTATAATAACAGCAATGTGGACTCTGAAAGAAACTCCTGACTGGCTCCCTGCAGGATGAGGCGTTGTGCAGCGAAGGCCTCACCAAAGTTCAAAGTAATCTCTGAACTTCGACAAGATAAAAGAAAAAACAGACAAAATCTCTGCTTAAATGACGTCATGCATTTGAAGACTGATCACTATCGCGCATTAACTCAAACACTTGATGTGTCTTTATGTTGTGAAATCTTTTGGTTGTTGATCCTGTTGATGCTTTAATGTTTTTTTGAATGTGCCGATTACAATGTTATGTTGTTGCTGCTGTTGTTTTTAAAGTTGATATGAAGCCTACTGTCTTGTATTTGTTTTTTGTATACTGTTCATTTTGTTTACAGGGGTTAGGGTTAGGGTCAGTAACCTTAGGGTAAGTCTTTCTCTGTTTCCTGTGCAGGGACTACAGATGAAAATAGCTTATCGCTAACTATTTGCACACTGAGAATCTGTGCAATGTCCAAAACAAAAGTACATTAAATACAAGGTAATTGAGGGTAAATGTGCATCACAATTGTATTAAAAACTTAAAGTTTGTGAAACATTCTCCTTTAAGATGTTATATTTACTGTTTGTATGGATAAATCCAAATGTTACAAACTTTTACCTGCAACTAAACCAAACATATTGTATTGTGTGGAAACCTTGGGGTTTTATGGAAAAGAAAGATCTGTGATTTAAATATGACATCACATTTAGTTGTTGTTGTGTACCCACCAATGTGTGGGTTAATTTGTGTGCAGTTAATTATCCTGCAAGGACACAAAATGTTTTCACAAAAAATGCACTTAAGGGGGGAAATAATAATCCGGACCACAGCATGTTGCCTCGGTCATGTTACTGTGGTGGAGCCGCTGGTACCACTAAAGTTACTCATGTTTCTTAGGCGGGCAGCTACTGTGTGTGAGACTGTGAAGCAAATTATTCCTGTCATTGTGTATCGTAAGTGAGAGCTGAATGAAAAAACAGATGGTTTTGGGGAAACAGAGGAAGAAAACAGCAAAATAGCTGTCCTTGTTTTCAAAGCAAACCTGAGTCACCAATTTCTCCCGTGTGGAAAAAACCAACACATACTTTCCAGTTGTGAAACAGCCCCAAACTGCAGAGGATCAAAACACAGGACAGTTTAAAGCTGCAGAATCTTACTTTTAAAGTTTATCACTATATTCACTGACGTTTTACAACACATCTTCCCTGAATTGTTCCCTCATGCAATATCAGGGAGGACCATGGTGTAAAAGAACGTATAAATATTTGTGGACAAAAGAGACATTGAGTTCTTGCTAGAATGGTGTATTTTGCGTATGACTTAATTTCCTGGGCTGTTTGGGCTCACTTTAAGATTTATGAGCTGTCTCTGTCCAAGTTTCTGGAAAGCTGCCTGGTTTATATCAGAGTGATTTACCTCTTGTTCTCTATCTGTCCCCCTCTTCCATACATAACACCAATCTTTCAAAGTGATTTTTTGTTGACCCTACGTGTGAGTGATTTGTTTTTGGGAGTTTAGCAGCATGAAAACCTGATCTGATCATCTGGAACCGGGAAGCGTTTTCTAAACCATCATGCAATATTTTAGGTTTGGGTTTCCTACATATAAGTTAGTCGTCATTTTCCATTTATTTCAAACAGCAATAGAAATCAATTGCAATCAACACAACATCTGTATATATTGCTGTCAAAGTTGCATTAAAGGAATGCATTACTAAGCAACAATAATGTATCTTCAACGAAAATAAAATCTTAGATTACATAAACAAACTGTTTCTGAATATTGATTAGTCTGCTGTACAGTAATAATGTGTGGGGGGGGGGGGACAACAGTATGCATTAATGGTAATAAAGCATGTGTCATTTTAAAACACATTTGCTATCTTGCCAAGAGTTGGATGAAAACAATTGCTTAACTTCTCATGTCTGGACATTAACTATGAAGCTCGCACCAGCAGCTGTTTAGCTTAGTTTTGCATGAGAATTGAAAACAGGAAACAGATAGCCTGGCTCCGTCAAGAGGTAACGAAATACACCTCTAAAATTCACAAATTAAAATGCTTAACTGATTTAGCAATGCATTCCTATAATTGTCAGACAATGCACAATTATAAAGTTTGGGTAACAGCTGTTCTGTGGAGTCTTATAGGATTTCTAAATCTAAAAAAAGCTTTTGTAATGTGTGCCAAGCTTCAACATCTGTAGAGCCTTGGGAGCGCTTGTTTTGAATGTGTGGTTCTCCACGCCGGCTTCACCAAACTGTGGACAGGCAGTCTGGAGAATGGGAGCCAGATGGCCACAGCTGGATGAAATAATTGGGGTGGGGGGAGGTGTGAATTGATATAGAGGTGGAAAGAAAGACAGTTGAGAAGCTTTAGAAGAGAGGTAGGTGGCTGGTTGATGAACTGGAGAGGTATAGGGTGAGATGGAATAGGATCATGACTGACTGTGTCTCACACCCATTTATGGCTGTTTTCCTGCTGTTTGCCTCCAATCTCCGTTTTAATATGACCAGTAGAATGCAGGGCACATTTAAAGGTCTGCAACGTGCAGTTATGCAGAAGTTGGGACTCCAAACGGCCAGCAAACGGTTGAGCAACCTAATTTGAGATTGTCAGCAATCTCACTGCTCCTCGTCATCAAACCATGAATCAGTCAGAATTTTCAGCACAGGATGTGAAGATGATCTGCCGGTTTACGACAAATGCTGGAGGTCACAGGGAGCAGCCGGCCTGTGAGGAGACAAACTTTCTGACGAAGCACTTCCCCAGATTCCACAACACGGTGCTACAATACAGTCACCGTGGAAACCAAATTGGGTGGAGCAGTTAGAGAGTGACAGCAAGGGTTTGACTTGATGAGTGCTGTGATTTATCGACTGAATTATATAATAATAATAATAATAATAATGCATTACATTTATAAAGCGCCTTTCCTGGTGCTCAAAGCTCTTACAAGCAAGTAAAACAAAATAACAACAAAAGTAGAAAGTGCTAAGCTAGGAGGAATAAGGGCAAGGGGTTAGTTGATTAGGAGTTGAAGGCAAGATGTTGAGTCCAACAAGACACTTACACACCCTAGAGATGGTGTGGCAGAAGATCAGACTAAATATTTCATCTTAAAGAACTTTGGTCTGCATTTAGGAAGTTGTTTTCACACCATGACATCAGGTGTAAAAAAGCATGACCTTAACAGGGTAACACATGTGTGTTTCCATTTCTTCAGTGTTGTGTGTGTTTTTTCAGACAGGTAGGGAGAGAGAGAAATAGTAAAAGTGGACGCTGTTTGCTCCTTCAGCCTGCAGACTGCATGGTGAATGCAAAAAGGAGAAACTTTTCCTGTGGTGTTAATTTCCCAGACTGTCCCAGTGGTTTTAATAAAACCAATAGCAAAAATAGAGCAAACATGTCTGCATTTTGTGTACCTGCTGGAATGAAAAGGTTGCCACGTTGTTAGTGTTGCAAAATGCACTTCACAGGTTTGCATCGAATTTGGGAACCATGTGAAAATGTCTGTGCCGTTTCCTGTTGTCATTCCAGCTAAGAGTGATTGTTATATCAAACAGAGGACAGAATGCACCACATTAATGAATTCATGATCAGACAGCCAGTGGAAAGGTGAGGATATTCACACAGAAAGGGCATATTTCCAAAGGACTTACAGTAAGCTCCAAAGGAAGTCAATCTAATGGCGCATTTCCATTGCAGGGCCTCGCTCGGCTTAGTACGGTATAGTTAGGCCTTGTTAGGACAGGCTCACGTTATGCTACGTTTCCATTACAGTTTAGTAGCTGGGGCAGTAACTATAGTAACGCAGTGTAGGCGGAGCCGTGACGTCATCTTCAATGCGAACCACAGAAAAACAACATCAGCCGTTAGCTGTTAGCACTCAAGCTCACAGCTCCTCATATCTGTTCAGAAACTAGACAAAAGTTAAACAAGTACAAACCACAGACTGTCTGTGTCATGGTGA